TCTATTTTTTGTTTTTTTATTTAAAACATTAACCCGCGAACCGCTGCCCGGGTCGAACGGTTTAGCGGTTCAATCACCCGGGTCAGCGTTTTTTTTTTTTTACTTTTCAATGTTTTTTTCAAATTTTCGGTTTTTAGTAAAACCGGACCCGGATGGCTAACCGATTACCGGTTTTTTCGGTCTGACCATCCGGTCCGGTCCGATTTTGAAAACCATGTCTATATGGATTGTCTAGAGAGTAGGCAATGGTAGAAGTGTCAATTGGACTAGATTTGGTCCAAATCAATCCAATCCAATGTGAGTCCACTTACAAATGGACTGGACCCAATCTAGTCCAAATCTAATATAAACCAAATCCAATCCAATCCATTAAAATGTAAATGGATTGGATTGGATCCAATCCAAACTGAATGAAATATAAAAAATTATATATAAAAAACAGTACATATAAAAATTACAAAAAAAATATATTAAAATAAAAAAATCTGAAAATTATAAAATTATACCCTTTTGGCATTGAAAAAGCACTTTTGTAAAAGTGCTTTCATAAAAGTACTTTGATAAAAGTACTTTCATAAAAATGCTTTTGTAAAATTACTTTAATGAAAATATTTTCGTAAAAGTATTTACATAGAAGTGCTTTTGTAGAAGTATTTTTGTATAAGTGCTTTTGTAAAAGTACTTGTACTTTTGTAGAATTGTTTTTGTAAAAATGCTTTCGTAAAAGTACCTTTGTATAAGTGCTTTTATAAAAGTACTTTCGTAAAAGTTCCTTCATAAAAGTGCTTTTGTAAAAGTGCTTTCGTAAAAATGCTTTTATAAAAGTACTTCCATAAAAGTGCTTTCACAAAAGTACTTTTATAGAATTACTTCCAGAAAAGCATTATAAAAGTTCTTTTGTAAAAGTGATTTCGTGTAAATTTATTAAAGTGGTTTCGTAAAAGTGTTTTTATAAAACTGCTTCTGTAAAAGTGCTTTCATAAAAGTATTTTTGTCATAAAATTACTTCTATAAAAGTGCTCTCACAAAAGTGATTTTATGCTGGCTTCAGTTTTGATCAGTTTCAAAATTGGACAAGTGTTTGGCCTCATGATCGGATTATTGGAAATTTGGTTTAGGTCCAATTCAGACCAATAAGAATATGGACCAATTTATTTTGGATTGGACCAATCCAATAATTATACAAATTGTCCAAATCCGATTTGATAAGTTTTGGATCGGATTGGATCCAACCCAAAACCGGTCGATTGACACCCCTAGGCAATGGGCAAGGTTCAAATTATCGATGCACCGTGTATTGATACTTAAAAGCATGTACTTTTATGTTCTTTTAGTTTATTTTTATATATTTTTCATAAAAAGGGGGTTCCCGAAAACACCTAAAGAGGTGTTTTGGATCCCTAAAGGTAAGAGATATACAATATAATGATATACCCAATGTGGGGTGTATCGTATCGTTACTTTGAACCTGGAAATGGGATCTCGTTTGGGAGGACTGAGTTGAAGATTTAGCTAAGCTGGTTCAACTGCTGCTATGGAGCACTCTAAATTAGGGGTATTCATTATACGGTTCAAACTGCAAAACTAAATCGATAACTATAAATGGTTTGGTTCTGTTTAAGAATTTTCTAAATTGTGGTTTATGGTTTCAGTTTGGTTTATTGAATTTTATAATATGAATATATGATATGTAAATATTATATATAATATATCTAAATGGAATGTATAAAATTATAAATGTATAAAGAACTCTTTATTTTATAATAAAATAATAAATAAAAGTTTTAAGTTTTAGTTTTAATTTTTAGGATAACTATTTAGGCTTTCTAATTGAATTAAGCCCAAAAGAATCATAGAACTATCCAAAGTCTCAAATTGTATTAAAAACCGTAATAAAACGGTTTGGTTCTATTTAAAAATTTCTCAATCCATAATTTACCTGTTTAGTCTGAGATCTTCTCCAAAAGACACCAAACCGGACTGTGAACAATCCTATTCTAAATAAGCCATTTAGGTGCTCATTAAGGAGGGTGGAAGCACAGTGGCTTCTGGTTTTCCGAGGTGAATCCCACATAGGCAGCTTATAAACGATGGTGAAAAATCTGGAGAGCCTAAATCGGCTGTAAGTCATTTAAAGGGCTGCCGCTTCAGCCTCCTTGAGTAGCTAGCTTATCTGGAGTGCAATTCAAAGCAGCTAGACCAGAGCGGCCCTCCCAAATTGGCCCTAAAGTGCCTGATGCAAACATCCCTTCAAATGATTGATAGATGGCTGATCTGAGATTCTGAGCTATCTAAATTTTTCACCAAACAGAACATATAGGATGTCTTGGGATCCATCTCAGAAGACCAGAAGGTGCTGCACTTCAGCTATCCAAAATAGGCACTATGTTGGTTACCTCATCAATGGCCGAAGCTCAAGTTGGATGGATAGTTATTCTTAAATGAAACAGACCACAGAAGGGGGATCAATGCCTAAAATTGAAGTCCATCAACGACTATAGAAGCTGACTTGTACCAACTCATTAAGAGTTCCCTCAACTTTCTGTTTCTCTCTTAAGGTTTATTTGGGAGGGTTTTAGTTTTGATCGAGTTGCTTTCGTTGAATCACCTTGAAAAAAGCTACTAAAAATGGCTTCACTGGAAAGCCCTACTTTCTTGATTCAAGGAAAATATACAACTTTACTGATTTTTCACCAAACATAGCTCTTAGGCTTTCTATGTAGGACTCACAAGCTATAAGCCTGTTTGGAAAGCCCTCCCAGACAGGTACTTAATTTCTATCAACCAGATGTTGTAGGCATTTCGATATATTATTAATAACAAAATGGTACGTGCATGTGATCCATTAATTTATTGCTATGCATATTAACAGAGCATTTATTGATGGTTGGTGATTAGAACATACCCCACGTTATGTTAGACCGTTTGGTTTGAAAGAAAAAGTATGAAAAGGCGGGGAAAGGTAGGAAAATTTATACAAGGTTTGTTAAGGTTTCTTTTCATTTCCCTGCTTTTTCTTTCAAACAAAACACAGCGTTAGATAAACAGGAGATATCCCTAATTAGTGATAAAAAAGCTAAGGACAAAGTGAATCAGTCTCGAACAGATTATTACTCGGAATAATTGCGTGTGATCTGATTAGACCCTATCATACTTGGCATTTATATATAATTAGGCCTATTCTGATTCCGATTCTAGACTCTTATTCCCACGATCCAAACGGGGCCTGAGATAGTTTGGTCATATGCATAGAAGACCATTTACAACATCTCTAAATCTCCTGTGCACAAGAATCCTACCCACGTCTACCCACATGACACTACATCTGTACATTGGGAACATGTCCCTATGAATGATAACATGTAAATACTGAAGATATTCCCAATGTATAGCTGTATTGTCATGTGGGTAGATGTGAGTGGGATTTTTGTGAGTAGGAAATCCGAGTTCATCTACAACACCTTTTTGGAAAAATGATCTATTACAAGTTGAAGGGGTTAGAAAAGTTAGTGACAAACAAAAAATGATTTGGGCGAAAGTAACAAGAAATGATTTAAATGCCAATAATTTAGTGATAGATATGACACTGCATTGAAGGAAATGGCAAAATAGGATTCATGCAACCATCCTCATATAGTTGGGACAAGGCTTAGATGATGATGGTGCTAATATGAGCGTATTGAGCACAAAAGAGCAAAATACAAAACGGTTTTTTATTCCATCAGGGTTTTTATTGCTCAAGCACTCTGTTTGTTTCACTAGCATTGCTCAATCCTAAAATGGTAAGAACAAAGGACTGGTTTTGGATATATCGAGTAGGGGTGGTCATGAGCCGGGCTTAGCACAGAAAGGTCTTCATGTAAGATTAGGCCTGGCCCAGCACACACGTCCTAGGCCCAAATCTTTTCTTGAATAACTTGACAAATAGATCCATTTCCCACATATAGAGACAGAAAAAAGGGTAGTATCAGATTATGTATTAGTAAAGCTATGGCTGAACTAACTAAAGCTAGTGATTGGGTTGAATCATTATTCCTTTATGAATAAATAAGAGATAATAGTTAGTGTAGTTGAAAGATAACCAGGTGAAGGCTGAAAAGGGGCAAAAAAGAAAAAGAACACTGAAATGTTTCTTTTAGTTAGACAAGGTTGCATCTTCCACATGTACCCCAATTGAAAAAGCATTCCAAAGAAACAACTTTTATTAAAAAGGTAAGATTATAAAACAGAAAGGGCATCAAATTACAAAGTAAAACCACCATCTCATCTTACTATCTTAGTGGTTGGCCACAGAGCTAGAGGCTTGTATAGTTACGGTTCATATTGAACTTAACCGATCTAAGTCTCCTCCACATCTCAGCCATGTATTGAGAACATCCCCCACTGTGTCGGAGGAGAGGATGTTTAACAAATAACGCCCTTGAAGTGGGTTGTGGGGTGGGTCAAATCTGCTCCCAATGCTGTTCCAACAAACCCATGAATAAACAAGGAAAATCAAAGAGATGTTAACAATGTGTTACTGCATTATTTTGTTGGGGCAGTATTGGGAGCGTTTCATTGGTAGCATATCCCTAACTGTGGGTTGTGAGCAGAGACATAATAAGTCATTACAGTCGGACATCAAGAACATCTCCCCATGGATGAGAAAGATGTTTTCAATGTGTGTGAATGCATTGGTTAGTTGGAACAGTGTTAGGAGTGTTTCATTGGTAGTGCATCATCTCAACAAATACTCCCAATGCTGTCCAACAAGCCATTACAGTCGTACATCAGGAACATCTCCCGGAGATGTTGCCAATGTGTGACTGCATTGTCTCATTGGGACAGTGTTGGGAGGGTTTCATTGATACCAGATCCCTAAGCGTGGGTTGTGGGGCATGTGCACTTGATGGCTGTCGTGGGATTTTGTTATTTGATTAAACAGTCAGTAACACAACTCGCCATCAAGTGCAGATCAACCGATTACTTGAAAAAAGGAAATACACTGAAGATGAAGATAATTCCATAGCATACCTAAAACCCATCGAATTAAAGGAACATATTTACAAAGTAAAGGGCGAATTTCTTCCTTCCTTACAGTTACAGAATCCACACACAACAGAATATCTAGCTACTTTGTATATGCAACTCTTAAGCAGTATGCATTTTGTTTTTTCAAGTCGGAAGAACACACTTCTTGACACAGAGTTTAACTCTAAGTACAAGTCTCCACTTTCACTCCGTTTTAACCGCTGACTTGGAAATCCTCAATGAATCGAGCACACTTTGCCTGTATTAAAGAAATATAGTTGTTGATGAGTAAAAAGTTCACTAAACAGACCTTGAGAGTTGAGGGTCACTATTCCTATCACCATCCTTGAGTTCTCCTTTCATCCTGGGTGGACCCAAAACATACCACAATCATAGCAAATAAATGAAAAACAAAAGATAAAAAAGAAAAGAAAAAGGTTCAAGATTCTCTCAGCTGGTAGAAGGTGTGATGGGAAAAGAAAGCTCTACAATAAAGAGCCTTATAAAACTTGCTTTTTCTTTCCTTTCCTTTCCCTCTTTTTTGTAATTTGGAATGTTCAATTAAAAAACAGGAGATTTGATCCATAACATTTAAGATGTGAATCTTGAGTTGTGAATTGAATTCTTTTATGCAGCCTGCTCCATGAACCGACCCGGCTTGACTTTTGTGGAGAAGAACTTGGTGGGTGTGAAGCGCTTGGGCCGATAGGGTTTGGGTCTAGTGTATATACATCATGTTTCTAGTGTTTTTGTAGGGTGTTTTCGTGGATGTAGTCTAAGATTGATTAGCTGAACCATTAAATGTGCTCTTGTTGCTTTGTTTCTGTTAAAATGTGCGAAAGCTCTATTTGCTAAAAGGGTGCAATGGAAACTAACCTCTTAAGTGCAACACTCCTCTTGGCAAGCATGATGCTTGTGAAAACAGAAACCATTGCAAGGCCCAAATGCTTAAGAGTATGCCCACCGATTACTTGGCGAGTCAAGTCGTAGATTTGTTGGTCCGCTAATTCTCCTATTTTACCTATGAGAAAAAATACTGCAACAATGGGAGTAAATACCATGAGTAATCTGAATCAATGTGATAAACAGCATTGCTAGACTACAGACTTTCATGAAATATCTATATTCCAAGAACCACAAACCTCCAGCCCAAAGCCAATAAATGGAATGAGTATACATTGGAGGCAATAAGATGGCCATTGCAGCAATAGCAAGGCAAGAAAGCAACTGGAATAGTATGTATAGACGGACATCACGAAAAATCCTGCAGCATGAATAAGGGAACAAGAGCGATGCAATGAGATGACTAAGTCCCAAAGGTAATCTTCATTATATATGGAGAAGAATGGGATCTTAAATGCTTACCTCCAATACAAAATGCTTCCTAAACCTGCCATGATAAGGGGAATGATAGACATTGTTCCCTTCTTCTCATCAACCCTTTCAATGATAAATATTGCCAGAACTGATGCCAATGCAACACTCATCTGTATTCATTAGGAACATTTCATTATGGTGTGTTAAAACAGTAAGAAGATAATAATCTGAAGAAATACAAGTAAATAAAACAAGAACAAGAAGAGCACGTTCTGTTTCTTGGTGACTACATGGTCAGTCCAGAGGTTCTCCTACTTGATGGATTGCCTGGATTGGCCCATCTTTCCTTTGCTGGACAATTAGGTTTGATAATCTAGAGAATTAGACTAAAATGTGAGAAGTAATTACCAAAAACAAAGATCTTGTCATTCTCATTGGTGTTATGGTTCTCTGAGACCGGCTCTAGTCGTAACTAGGGTCCCAACAGCTATTGCAGCTGTACATTGGGAACATCTCGCCATGGAGGACAAGGGAGATGTTCCTGAACATCACAATGCAGCAGTTCATTGACATTGTATGTCCTTATGGCTAATACCCACAAATAGATGAATTAATACAATAAAAAACTCGCCATCTTCCAGTTTCAGCAATTGTTAGATAGAAATCCTTATAGGAATTAACTGATATGATCTTTCATGCATGTTCTTGTTGGCAAGGATAAGCTAGACCAAAGGGAATAGAAAAAGCAGGACAGAAACCATTTTTCTAGTCATATATGAACCAAAAGTAACCATGTAAATATTTTGATCTTTTTTTCTTTTTATGCAAGCATTTTGTGTTCATTTCTACAAACTAGTCTCCTACATGGATTCACATAACTACCACTCATCCGCACATAATGAAGTCTAACAATCTAACATAGTGTTGAATTCTAATTTATGTGCTATATTACAAAAATAAAACCATATGCTATAGAAATTTCTCAATATGTGCTGCAAAGGGAAAAGATATAACTAGATGACCAATCCATGAAAAAGATTATTGCCCTTCACCTCTAAAAGAATAAACTCACCGGCACACGATCCCATACGAGTCGAGGATCATTTGGCTGGAGATGATAATAGCCTGACCCTAATCCAACAGCTGCCATGCTAATGTAAAAAATTGTCCAAGCCAACAATTCTCCTTGCAAACTATATCCGCAGCAACAATTCATCAGCAACTCATAATCAAGATCATTTATCAACAAAGATAAATGAACAGAAACAATAATAGAAGAGGCTGATCAGTGATTATTGCTAAATTTTCAAAATTACCTCAATCGAAAATAATTTCCACGATAGCAAACTACGAGCCCGATAATACCAGCAATAAGAAAGGGTACATTTGAAACCACATCCAATGTATTAGGTATCCCTGACAGAATAAGAACTTTATAAGGTATGAAATATCAAATAACAAGAAAAAAAGGGTACTGAAAAATAACATGAAAGGGTGGTACTTACGTAGGAAGTTAGCTATGCTACTAAACAAATAAAAAAAGAAACAGTTAAAATCCTAAGATTGAAGAATGAAAAAAAAATGTAGAATCACATGATCGTATTTTTAAGTTAATTGGTTTCTCACATAATATAACAATAGACAAAAGCACAAATTACCAGCAAAAAAGTAATAATCACAATATACAAATACAAACACATTTATAAAACCAATCATAAAAGTAATAATCAATCAGTTGGACTTTCATCAAAATTCAAGGGGGAATTTTGATTGATCAAAGCCTTTCCGGTTCCATGTCTTTCCAGCATCATAATTTTTTTTTGTATAATACGTTTAGAAATTATAAATAAATAAACCTATATATTAGGGCTGCAAATAAGTCAGATCAGATCTGATTCGAATCCGAATTCAATCCAATAAGAGCTGGATTCGGATACCTCCCTTGATCCTAACAAATTGGGTCGAATCGAAAAAGTCAATCCATTTAATTAATAGATTGAATTTGAATATATCCCAATCTATTTCACCATGACCCAATCCAATCAGTTAGTTATATTATATTATATTATATTATATTATATTATATTATATTATATTATATTATAAAAATAATATAATATATTATTTATATTATATCATCAATTTTTTATTACAATCCAAATCAAATCGAATATCTGAATTCGAATTCGTATCCTAATCTTGGAAATCAAACGGATTTCTTATCGAATCAGATCAGGTATACCCTTTACTAAATCTGATGCAATCCATTTGCAGCCTTATATATACAAGTATGAGTTGGGCTAGACCCAATGGGTGTAGAAGTTTTGGCCCTAGATCAGACCAGAATTTGTGGACCTTCCAAGTCAAGCAAAAAAGCCCAAACAAGATGAATTATAGCAAAATTTGTGGAGCTTTTGAGTTCGGAACTGGTCCCAACATAGGCTCCCAACAACATCACAATAGGCATTGTAGGTGTGCATTGTTGAACATCTCGCTATGAAGGACAAGGGAAGTGTTCTCACTTCTCAATGCATGGCTGCAACTAGGGGTGATCATTTCAACCCGACCCGAAAAATCTAGGCTTGGGCCTAGGTTTTTTGTTAAGACCCGGGCCCACAAAATTTAGGGTTGGGTTTGAGCCTAATTGTTAAGGCCCGACCCAGATATTTATAAATAATATATATCTTTATGTATATATGTTATTTAAAAATATTTGATAATTGATATTTTATATATTAAATAGAGATTAATAGAGATTTGTAGGAGATTAAAGATTTTAATCTTACAGTCTTAGATCTTACCAAATACCAAATTATAATATAGTATTTAATGAAATGTAGAAATTACTAAACCCTAATCTTCTCGGCTCTTTCTCTCTCACCAATTTCACAAAACCACCACTATGACCAATCTCTCTCTCTCCAAAAGACAATCTCTCTCCAAAAGACAAATCTTCTAGTGATGAAAACTCCATTGATGAAGATAAATCTGAAGTTTAGAGTGGTTGCAAGTTTTGAGTAAATTGAAACCACTTTCAATATTTTATTACTTATTTACATTAATTTGAACTATTTTTTCGTAGTTTGATCATATATATTTTTTTATTTCACTTTTTATTTGTAGGAGTTGAATGGAAGATGGAGCCCCTTTTGTGGATTTTACATGACAATAGATTGGTTATTTTTTATAGATATTATAGGTTTCAAGGTTGATTTTTTGTTGATAGAAGAATTAGTTTGTTAAAATTATCATTTTTTAGAATACTAATAACCAATTGAAACTTATAAGTATAACTATTTAATTTTTTTTATATTAGAAGCTTTTTAATTTTTTTTATGTTAGAAGCTTTTATTTTAATTTTAAGTGTAAAGTTTCTTATAGGTTACTAATAGGGGAAAAAAGTATAACTATTTAATTTTGAAACTGAAATACAATAATTTGGCTCATAATCTTGGCCCAGTCCGGGCCATGTAGGGTCAGGCATGGACTTATATTTTTAGGCCCATAATGCAGGTCGGGCCGGGCCCAAGCGTAGCCTAAGCCTGTTGTTATGAAAGCAAAGCCCGGCCCGACCCGACCCGGCCCATGATCACCCCTAGCTGCAACATAGGGATGATTATGGGTCGGGCAGGGTTTTTCTAGAATCTTAACAAAATATAGAGCTGCCTAGGCCTGGCCCAAACCGTACCCTAGCTTAAGAATATGTGTTTAGGCCTGGGACCAGGCTGAGTTGGGTCGGACGTACGGGCATGTCCACATAGACATCAATTGGCAATTAGCTTTCAACTTTGAACTACTTGGTCTTGGGCCCCCAACTATACTAAAACATCAAATGATGATTCAACGTCAACTTTCAACTATAAACATCTATTCTATATTTATTAAAAGAAAGTATAAAATATTAACATCTCAGTTTTCTATCAATGATATTCTTATAACAATAAGATAATAAAGAAATCAAAGGCTGCCTAAATTTCTTAAACATCAAAAACGTAACTCGCCATATAGCAGCAAAATTCTTTCCCCTCTTTTACCTCAAAGGTTAAATAACTTTTCAAATATAACTTATTATATTTATAATATAACCTGTTGCATTCACATTCAAATATATATATATATATATAAAGTACTACAACTCTTAAAAAATAAAAAACCCTCAACCCTACTTATATGTCCCAGCCGGATCGGGTTTTACGGGCCTAATGTTTTCAGCACTCAGGCCCAGAAACGGGTCCGGGCAGGGGAAACGAGGGCCGGGACGGGCAAACCGGGCCATAAATGATATCCCTACTGCACTGCAAGTCTGCAACGGCTATTGTTGGGACCCTGCGTTGGAACTAGATGGCGAGTTGGCGACTCCTTTCCTCTTCAATCGGGGTTTAAGCTCACTTCAGATTTGGCTTCTGTACCCCAGAACGAGTATATGAAGCCGTTTGTTGTGTTGAGCGAGAGCATGAACTCAACCAGAAATCCATTTTCCTTTTAGTCCAATTAGTTTAACTGGATACAAATTCTCAAAATCTACCAGAGCACAATCCACTTCCCAAATCCAATCACGAACAAGAAGGAAACGAAGCAAACGCAGAGCGAATTCATGAATTTCAAACATGGAACTCAAGACAGAGCAAAAGATGGAGAGATTAATTAAAAAACAATTGATGGAAATACCGAAGAAGTTGCGCTGATCAGCGAAATCGTGATAAGCTTGAGGCTGGGGAATTCTGGGAGTTACGATCATCAGAACTACTAGAGACGCAATCGAAACTCCCCATATGTTCAGTGTTCTCTTCTCCATTTCCTTGCACCAGACCAGACCACCTGAGAGAGAGAGAGAAAGGGGGGGAGATGTATGAAACTGAGTGAGAGGAATCGATACGGTTGAGAACGACGGTGGTCTGGCTCGGTCGGATATTAAATAAATATGCAACAATGCTTCTGCTTCTACACTTCTACTGAAGCGTCAACGTGGCATAATGAGGTCGCTGTAGGGGCACCATGGCTTCGACATCTGTAGTCGGCCCATTTTTGTTTTATGGATACGTCCCACATTCATCCATGATCCATTATCCATAACTAAGCATGGGCTCATATTGAGTGACACGTATTCCCGCATGCACCGAAACGAAGAGCTGCAAATGAATCGAATCAAATCGGATACATGGAGTTAAAGGTATATCCGATCCAACCCCAGCTTCTTTGCATGGGATTGAGCTTCAGGATCACGGAATAGACCTCGTTTAGGAGTGGAAATGAATCGGATCGTGATCCGATCCGATCATAATTTGATTCTATTTTATCTGATTTGGATAATCTGTTGTTGGGCTTCGGATTGTATGATAAGATCTAATTTATCTATTTGAATCATATACACAACGGGTGTCCGATTTCTCCCATCGGGTTATGGATGGAGAATAAAGTCTCCCCCTGTCTCCGATTATATATATTAAATATTAAATATTAAATATATAATATTATTTATATATATTAAAATATATTGAAATTATTATTTACATTTAAAAATTTATATTTATTTTCAAGTAAATTTATATTTTGAAAAAATACCGTTAAAAAAATATTAGGAATCTAAATCTCTATAGAGAATTTATCTCTGAAGGTGGAGGACAACTTTTATCCCACAGAGATCAGGGTCGGAGATCAATTATTATTTAAACCCTTTATACACCTTGCTGCATAATGAGTTTACATTTGTGCCCCACAATGTCCTAAGGCACATCCCGCCGTAAATATTGAGCCCAATGATAATCGAGTGATATTTTCAATACACGGTGGGGATGTAGTATGGGACGTTGTGGGGCACAAATCTGACCTTATGCATAATATATTTGAACCATGTTATATAGACTTCCAAATTTGAATGGCTTAAAATTTGTATTAAAATTGTTTAATTGCGACAAAAAAAGGAAATGAAATGTCAAATTTGTCCGCCATTATTCTTCAAATTTCATCCCCTCTTCTTATTCTCTTTCTCCTTCTTTGTCTGCTTATCCTTCATCCATCTTCATCACTGTTCATCACTGTAAATAGAGAATTACCATTGGCGTCATTGTAGATATTCTTTCAACCCTCTGTTGAGCTCCCGAGCTAACAAAGAAATATTCTTCTCCGTCAACACCAAATCAGTTCTCAAATTAACATTTTTATCAAGATCAACCCTCCGTTGAGCTCCTGAGCTAACAAAGATGATGAACAGTCAAACTCTCGTCACTCCATTGAGCTCCTGAACTAACAGAGACGATGGGCCACCAGAATACGGGAAGACGTACTCATGGATATACGTAAATGAAAAACGCCATGAAAGGGCTGCAAATAAAGCTCTATAACTCACTGTAATCCCCTCTGCTCTCTTCCCTCCCTTCTCTCTCATAGAGATGAAAAAGTCAGTTTTTTCTTTTTTTGAATAACAGATATTGGTTGGGCGAGCGGGCCGATGATGCTGTATACTCAGCACCGACGTCGTATCGCTGCTGGAGAACTCCAGAAAGCTGCCGATGTTGTATACTCAAATCGGTGTTGTATATACTCCGGGTTCTTCATCTTGACACGAACCGTAGGTAACTTTCTGGGTTCTCCTTACAGATCTCAGATGGACGGTGACTCGGTGAGTACCTACATTGAAGCGGAGGACGACGGGCCAGATCTCGGATGTGGGTTCTCCTTGCAGATTTGAGATCTGGGTTTTCCTTGCAGATCTCAGATGGACGGTGAGTACCTACATTGAAGCGGCAGACGACGGGCCAGATCTCAGATCTGAGTTCTCTTTGCAGATTTATCTGGGTTCTCCTTGCAAATCTCAGATGGATGGTGAGTACCTACAGCGAAGCGGCGGACAACGGGCCAGATCTCAGATCTGGGTTCTCCTTGCAGATTTGAGATCTCCAACCTTTCTCATCGTCGCACTGCTATCCGGAAATTGCAGCGACAAGCATTGCTGGTGAAGGCGACGGTGCTCCTCTCTATTCTTGAGCGCATTTTGAATCGCTGCAACCTCCACCACCATCCGGTGAAAGCCATAATTTCCGCCCCCACCGCCACCGCCACCACCACTTCCTCCATAATCTCCACCACCGCCACCGCTAATTCCATAGCCCCCGCTAGCAGCACCTACATAGCCACTACCACCGCCAGATCCATAGCCTCCACCAGCATCGCCACTGCCATAGCCTTCACCACCAGAAAAATGGAAAGATGGTGAAGAAGGGAGAGGGACGAAGGGCAAAATTGAATTTTGAAAAAAATGTATACATCACGTGACGTGATGTCACTGTGTCAGGTGTGTATGAATTTCGGCAAAATATTAACTGGCAAGGGTAGAGTAAATCAATTAATTGTAAAATTTAAAAAGTACCGCAAGATAATAGTTAAATAATAGGGGTACCGCGTGTTAATTAATTAAACGGTAGAAATGTTTAAAAAATTTACCGAAAAGAAAAAAAAAATAAGAATTTGCTTTTATGGAGAAAAATCACAAAACAAATCAATGTCTTTAATCACTGACCAACCTAAGTTGACCCCAGTAAAGCTGCTGAACCATCTAGTTCCACCTTTTCCTTTTCTCTTTATAGGATTAGATCATTCTCTTTTTTATACTGTTTCTTTTGATTAAGAATCTTTGCAAATGGGTTGACACGGTGTATAACTATAAGATGAAAAAACCCTCTCCGCGAAGTTACCCAAAAGTTTCTCCTTTTAGAAAGAAGCTTATAGATAAAAGAAGACATTTTTGCTACAAAGTATGGATTTTATTTGAAAGAAACAACAGGGAAAAGAGCCGGTGATTCCCAATTTTGACTTAGTCGAGATGAGGTCATATAGTCTGTTCTCTTGGTGTTTCCTTGATATAGAAAATTTTTTGTACCGGATCAATGGTTATATATTATATCATTTTAAAAAAATCACTTTAATTTTAAAATGGGAAAACAGGCTGGTGTGGCACATTGTTATTGGTCTGATATAGAAAATTTTCTGTATTAAGAGACAGACGATGTAATGGCACCCACACCCTACTCACAATAGATAAAACAGGGTGGTGTGGCATTAGACCTGTTTATGGCCGGTCGGGCTTTTTATTCTTCATGAATAGAAATTTGTTAGGCCTGAGCTCGAGCCCAGTTCGACCAACAGGCCTATAATTTGGGCCCAAGCCCGACCCTGATAAAAAGCTCGAAGCCCGAGCCCGAGCTTTTACTCACCGCCGGTGATTGTGTTCGTCGGAGTTGAATTCGCGATGAGTTGCGATTTTAACAGTGAAAAGTGTGTCAGTTCGCGTCTGAGAGAGAGAGAAAGAGAACTCACTGTTGTCGCCGGTGTCTGAGATTTGAAAGAGAAGTGAGAAGAGGAACGAGAGAGAAAAAGAAAGAGAGAGAGAGAGAGAGAGAGAGAGAGAGAGAGAAGGAGAGGACTCATTGCCGGAGTTGTTGCGTCATTGAATGTTCGCCGCTTCACTGGTTGTGTGGCTGCCTGAGAGTGTGAGGACTGAGGAGGATGTGAAGAGAAGAGAGGTTCGACTAAGGGGAAAGAGGTGAAAGAGGTGAAAGAGAAGAGAGGTTCGACTTAGGGTTTTTTTAAGTTTAGTCTATAGGTCGAGCCAGGCCGGGCTCGGGTCGAGCTATTTTGGCAAATCCCAAGCCCAACTCGAATAAATTGCGGGTCGGGCTTTATGGCCCGAGGTTAAGCCCACGGGCTCATTTGCATTTTCAAGCTCGTCCGGAGGCTGGGCCGGCCCGTTGGGCCACCCAGCCCATGAACAAGTCTATCTGGCACATTGAGGGGTGATTTTATCTGGTGTGCATGATTTTGTCTCATAATTGCTGAACAGTGGCATGTTCACATGATAGTCGCCCAGTCGGGTTGTTTGGCCTAGGAATCAGTCAAAATATCGGTTTCATTTTGATCCCAAGTTTCTATTTTTTGCCTAAAATCATTTGGATTTGTCAAGGATTTATTGATTCGGGCAATGGAACCATTGACCAGTTTGACCCCAAACAGCGGCTTGGGGCCATTTTTTATTTTTAACTATTTTTCTAAATTGTCACAGATTGATTTGTTTGACCGGATGGTCAAACCACTGACCCAAAAACCCGCGCCCAAAGAAGTTCTGGTTTTGCAGTTTTTAAGGCATTGTTTGGTACCATTGCTGTGCATAAATTGTTACCATGTGCACAATGTGTGGAATCCCATGCAGGTTTCATGTGTATAGAACAATGGTGTGTTCATTTGTCATATGTTGTCTAGCTTGGTGTGCATGATTTTCTCTCTATCCCATTTGATTCCATCGTTAAGGTTGTCAAGGGATTAGATTTGGTTTGGGACATGCTATATACCCATAATCTCCCTAATTATTTTGACCTGTTTATATTGATCGATTTCTATAATTATCTATGTTAATAAAATTTAAAATTTCATTTTTGATGATATATAATCTTAATAAAGATGATAATAGAATAGTAAACCATTTATATGTTAATAAATCAAGTATTTTAATCAAAATTATCTTATATATCAACTAACAAATTTATCCTTTTACACAAAATATAATAAAAATAAAAAACACAAAAAAACTAGAAAACCCTTATACACAATTAACAATATATTGATTCGGAACAAGCAAAAACCAAAACTCATATATTGCTTCAATTTGGTTGGGTATAACCAACCCATTGAGAGCTCGGTGTTCTCATACCACATATGATTGAATCACCTTAATTAGAATGCTTAGATTTCATATTTTATATGTAAATTTATATTGATCAACCCAAAATGTTTTAACAACAATGGTATCAAATGCAACCCAAATCTTCATTTTAAGAAACATTAATAAATGTGTACATGTATTTGCACATGACACTATCAAAGATAACAGGTCAAACAAAACTATACATGAATACATGGTGATTAAAATATTGAATGCAATTAATTCACCTCATGCATGTTAACCGAGAAATTGAATTGTTGGCAAAGTTATGCTTCCCACATAAGTTTATGCATCAACATTTAAATGCTCAAACTGGACTTCAATTTTGGGAATATCAAGTCCAACTTTGAAAACAACCAAGATGTAGAGAAAGTGACCTAGTAAGTATATTCAAGGGAAAAAATCCAGTTCAGCAAAAAAAAAAAAAAGAGGGAAAGGAAATGAAGAAAAAATAAGAAGAGTCTATACCTATCAATTCAGTTTTTGAACTTCAACAAAAACTTCTCATTATCCTCTTCTACAACTCTCAACAAACTCTCTAAAAGAATCTTATTTTCTTGTAAATCGAGACTCTCAATATCAAATTCTTTGGTCTCACTTTGAGAGTAAAGGATATATATGTCTTCTTTATACCCACTGTATACTTAGACAAAGAGGGAAGGGGGTGGGTAACAAACGTCCAATGACAATTTTAGAAAAAATGGGTATTCACTCTTTTATATGTAGTATAGATAACAAGAGATCCACTCCAGGTATGAGCAGTTGTTCGAACCAGCATGCCAAGCTAACAACAAACTTTCTTGCTCGGTACACTAAAGGTCTGTTCGTTTCCTCTTAACTCCTATCTCTTAAGATGAATCTTTTAACTTTAAGAGAAAAATGATTGTCCGTTTCCTCTTATCTCTTATCTCTTAAAATACAATCACTTAACTTTTTGTTTTCCAATGATACTTCCGAAAAGATAAACAAAAACTATCATATATGGAGTCAAAATAGATATTTGATAATTTTCAGAATTTAGAACAATATTCTCTATATTCAGAATTTAGAGGAAAAAAAAATTCACCAATACCAATATAGCTCTTAATATAATTATTGCACATTATGTCAGATTTCAGATCAAACGAACAGGTCCTAAAGAAAAAGCTATCCCGTTACGAAATTAACACAACTTATAAAGTGAAAATTTACAATCATAAATACGCAATAAATTTAAATTTGCATATGCACCCCACAAAACATCTCAACGGTATATAAGAAAATATTTTCTAATGACAACTAATAATGAACAAAACGTGTAAGTCTATTAAAAACATCTCTTAATATACCGAAACTCACGCTGAGATGTATGATATCTAAAAAACGTCTTAGCATTCAATTGGAATCATAAACGTGATAGTCAATTAAGTGTTATTATTGGTCAAACTCTTATCATTTCAAACTATATGGGTATTATTGTAATTTCATTATTGTTTAAATATTTTATTCAGGCTGGGTCCCTCGATTCGTATTTAACGCCGGAAGGCCACTGAGGCACCGACCTCCAGTCTTTTCACCTTCTCCGTTCTCTTCATCCTCGATAGCAGTCTTGAGTTATAGTTAACTACCAAGAAGAAGTTGCAGCGTCTTGATTCTGAGAGAGTGATGAGCGATTCGAAGGTAGAGATCATCTCGAGACTTGCTCAATGGAAGATAGAGAACTTAGTTCCCTGTTCTTACAGAAGGTCCGACCTTTTCAAAGTGGGAATCTGGAACTGGTAATACCTTCTGTTGTTGCCTCATTCATTTCTGTATCCTATTTGTTTTTCGTTCAATCTACTTTGTTGTTTCTTCATTTCTGTTGTTTCTTCTGGGTTCATCTAAATTTACTTCAATTCTAAGAAAAGAAGTTGGTAAAATGAATCGCCTGATTTAATGCTCTGAGTATCGTTGCTGTTGATCGAAATGCAGGCACTTGTCGGTAGAGAAGAACCGATATCTCTACATTCGTTTGTTCCCAGAGCTTTGTCGGATTTCTAAAGAACAGCCTCCAATCGCCAGATTTGTTCTCCGAGTATCCGATTTTGGAGCTAACCGCTGCCCATATATCTCGCCGAGTAATTATTTCTGATTTCATCACTTACTTATATTTGAACTTATTAATTCCTTCTTACTTCTGTTACATTAAAACTTCATTTTGTTTTGAGCAACTAACTATATATTTCGCTTAAAATGTGTTTCCAGCATCAATTCACTTAGGCTGTGTTTGGTTTGAAAGAAAAAGTAGGGAAAGGAAGGAAAAGGTAAGGAAACCTTTACAAACCTTGTATTAGGTTTCCTTGCCTTTCCCTTCCTTTCCCTAACTTTTCCTTCAAATCAAACATAGCCTTATCAGAAAGCACAATAGAAAAAGTAATGTCTTTTGGTGTTTTTCACATAATGTGGTGAACTAGACATAAAATCGAATAAATGAGTTCTCCAACTAGCCCGATGAGCAAAATTTCCTGTTTCAGTCAGTCAAGGATCTTTTTATTCCATAACTTTAGAGATTCATTCTTTTTACTCAATTTCTTAAACCTTTGTGAAGCTTAACTAATGTTCTATTTCTTCATTTCCATTTCTACTTCAGCTCTTTGTCAGGAACCAAAAAGAGGGAAAAAAGCAATATCGCTATAGGATTCCTTCATAGTTAAGTAATTGACAGATGGGGAAAATGAATCATGTATTCATGTGCCAAATTTTCTGTTCTTGCTGTTGACTGATGGAAGAGCTTTTGTATGAAGTTGGTGGCAGTGTATTTTAGAATTTGAGTTGGTTTGATCCTTACTGGATCCATGTTCCATTGAGGATGGCTTTTCTGGTACATTTTGTCAATCCTTTCCTGGTTTAGCTACTTTAGTGTTGCAATGTCCAGTGTGAAGCAAGAACTCTGAACTCTGCTTAAAATGAAATTTTTGGTATGAAACCTGTCAAGGGGGTCCACACTTTGTAATTTCTTCTATGTTAGGAAACATAGGAATCCTCTTGCTCAAGCTCTGAATAGTGGAATGTTTAGCTTGTCCTTCTGTTATCAATAGATCTGTCCCATGAACTTGATGATGGTCTTCTGTTTAGGCGCAAATATATACAGATTTTCACTGGCATGCCATTGCTTGGTGCTGCAGTTCAGGAGAGGCTGCTTCGGACCGGTGAAGACTTTGTTTGGCCTGTTGATTCTAGTACTAATGGTCGAGTAATCATTGATGTTGAATTTCTTGACCTCAAGATCTCTCCACTAAATGTTAGTAGCTTTTGATAATATTCTAGATTCTGATGAACACTTTAATCTCAGCATACATGTTTCTCCTGTTTAGAACTCTGCTTCTAACATACCTAAAGTTCAGGGTGGAGAAGCCTATTCTATATGGCCTAGTGAAGGAACAGTGCAGAAGAACCTTGCAACAGAAACCACCCTGCGATGCTTCTCTCGTATGCTTGATGAGGCTATCCATGCAGATGTCACCATCAACACAGCTGATGGAACACTGAGTGCTCACAAGGCTGTTTTGTCTGCAAGCTCCCCTGTGTTCCAGAGTATGTTCTTGCACGACCTCAAGGAGAAAAATTCTTCTACAATTGAGATAGAGGATATGTCACTAGAATCCTGCACAGCTATGCTCAGTTACTTGTATGGGACCATAAAACATAAGGATTTTTGGAATCACCGGATTGCACTTCTTGGGGCAGCAAACAAGTATGATATTACTGACCTAAAAGAAGCTTGTGAAGAAAGCCTCTTGGAAGATATCAGCTCCAGCAATGTCCTTGAGAGGCTACAAGAGGCCTGGCTCTACCAGCTGAACAAGCTGAAGAAAGGGTGCTTGACGTATTTGTTCGATTTTGGCAAAATATATGATGTTAAAGATGAAATGAATAGTTTCTTCCACCATGCCGACAGAGAATTGATGTTGAAAATGTTTCAGGAGGTCCTTGCAGTGTGGAAACCTGCATGACTTCCACTCTGCCAAATTTATTAGCATTTACTGTGATTGCATACATGTAAGAATGTATATACATATCTTTTGTATGCTATCATAATGCAGGCATATTACCCATGTTAGCAGTATATGGAAGATTTTTCTCTCTTAGTTGTTTTGAGTTCAATGTGTATGTTTTTGTCATTATTGCTGGTTTGCTGCATACTGGGATATTTGTCTAGGATGTGCTTATAGCACTCTTTTGTTCAAGGTCCCAAGCTGAAAATGAGAAATTTGGAAGATGTTACAGCAGTTCATATTTGGCAATAATTTTCTTGAAGCGTTGAGCATTACCATCAATAATTTAAGGGGGAAAATTATTCTCTAGGATTCACGAGGTTATGGAATCTTTAGTTATTTGGAAAAATATAGTTCTAAATTGCTAGGGCAAGATTTTGTGCATCTCAAATGGTTTCCATAGGCTCTGTTTGCAGTGCAGACTGTAGGGGGAATTCAAAATCTGGTTTAACTTTATTCAGATTTGACTGTCTTGTTTGCTTGTGAGAATTAAAATGAGGTGGCTCTCACTTGAAGGGGGGAATGGAGGCAAGAAGGTTATAGATTGGGGGGAGTATGGTAAGACTGTAGTAGGCAAAATGATGCAGTCCCCACATTAATCAAAAACTTTGTTCACATAGCATCCAGCCCCATATTGGGAGTATCTCCCATTCAATTCATGGGTAGATGTTCCTAATGCGTGGCTGGATTCTCATGTTTTTGTTACAGTTGTGCAGAGTTTTGGGAATACGGCGGCCGTCACAATGAGAACTTGGAGGCTTTTCAGCTCTAAGGGACATTTTTCTGAGTGGTCTCTAAAGATAGGGAAGTGCTTGTTTATTTGTAGGAGTTATGATCAATGTTATCAACCCACCATTGACGTTAATGGTTGAACCCTTTGAACCATCACTCACTTCTTCTTTTTTGTTCCAGTTTTTTTTTTTTTTTTTTCAAGTTAGGAATTGGCTAAAAACAATTCACTTAACCAAAATGATATTCATAACTTTTATAATAATTTGTTCTCATATCTAATAATATTAATAAAAATCATAATAAATTGAATTATAATAAATTTTTAACATATTTAATAAATCTGTTCTCATATCTAATAATAAATTATAACATTTTTTTTATAACTTTGATTCTAAAATTGAATTATAACTTTAATTAATAAAAAATCAAAATTTTATTAATCATATATGGGGAGGTCCAGATACCCAAAACCATCATGGAATTGGGCTGATCCGGGTCTTGTCAAAGTTAATTCCCAGTAGGATTCAATTTTGAAATCATCTTTCCTTGATTGGCTGATTGTCTCTTATCTGTTGAATCTCGACCAGAAAAACAATCTCCGAGACTTGATATCTTCTATCAGAGATTTCCTAATTAGAGATCTCCAGTTTCCAAAAGTTGTCATGATTACAAAGTTCCAAGAGTAATTGTCTTTTAAATGATCAATCTTTCCACTGTTTCGTTATCTGTTAATTAACTTGATTTCAAAACTGAACATCAATGGTCTAAAATCCATTAAAATATTAAAATTTGTTAAAAGAGAGCAAACACTTGACATCATGTCAACCCAGGGGTGGTGTTTTGAAGATCAGGGATCCTTTTCGAAAGACGTTGAGATTCAAACACACATTTTTAAGTTGGGATTCTGATTTTCCCAGTCTGAGCAATACTTGTAATTGTTGGCACAATCAGTCTCATATGTTTCTCTAATTTTCGGTTTCATGTATGCATGCCGTTTTAGCAATTGATGACTCATGATGCGTTTCTGCAACTCTGCTCATCATCCCCTTTTGTTATTTTGGACGTAGGAAACTGAATCGTTTTCCTTTAGCAATTGATGACTCATGATGCGTATCTGCAACTCTGCTCATCATCCCCTTTTGTTATTTTGGACTTTGGAAACTGAATCGTTTTCCTTTAGGCATTGTTTGCAATCAATGACTCAATGTAAAATCCTGTTTTCAAAACTGGACCGGATCGGACGGTCGGATCAGAAAAACTGGGAACCGGTCACCTGACCGATTTCGTTTTCTTCCAAAATTGTTTTTTTCCTCAAAATCATTGATTTTGATCAACAAACCACTGAACCGGTTGATTAACCATTGGAACCGTTCAAACAGTTTTGACTATTTTTCAATTTTTCAATTTTTTTAATTTTTTTTGTCAGAATAGGCCAATTATTTGAGTCAAACTGTCAGACAATTCGAACCGATAATTAGACCCCTAACCGATTCATTTTTAAAAACCATGATGTAAAACCCCAACGATGTAAAATTAAAAAGATGCCGTCGGGTTCGACTATAATACGAAAAAAATATGATATTTTTTCATGTGTGGGTTTTGATTGATCAAAACTCTTACTATATCATATCTTTTTCGTATCATAGATTTTCCCATTTTCATGATTGAATCAATCGAACATTTACATCAAATATCAAACCTTAGACATCTCAAATTACTCACTTGTGAACTTTTAGCTTAAGATACCGTTAATTTCCCTTGTATTGCACAAAGACTTTATTTCTAAGGTTTAATCTAGCCTAATTAACCACCTTTAGATTTGTTAGATCTGGGCCCAGTTGGGCCAATCTTCCCTTACCAACTGATTTAGAACACCTAAAAATCCCACTTACAAGTTTTAACTAAAAATACCCATATTTACTTATTTATCTAAAAAAATTCCATTTTAATCTATTTCATTCGCCCGCACATAAAACCTCCATACACCCTCAAACGTATCACCATCCTCCTTTCTCACCAGAACCCCACAAGCCACTATTAAATTAGAATCCCTATTTGATCCCCTTAGACTTGAATTGACCAAATTAGCCCTAAATTTACAAAATTACCCAAACCCCTAACAACAAAAAGGAATTTCGAAAGAATTCATTGTTCATCTTCTTCCCTCGATGTTAAACCAGCAGCGACGTCCCCTCATACTTCTCCCTAGAGGTGTAGAATGGTCCATCAGGCTGTGCCGCCTTCCCTTAGAATAACGTGGGGGTTGGCCTGGCATGGCTCACGGCCCAAGTCTATACGAGCTCGTGCCATGTCACAGGCCGGGCTGATCCGTGGGCCAAGTCTTAAGTTAGACTGAACCAAAATTATTTATTTAAAAAAACTTAAAATTTTAATTTTATATAAATTTTGATATATACAATTATTTATATATATAATAATTAAATAAAAATGAAGACAATTATTTTGGGCTATGCTCCGGGCCGTCTCAACACGCGGGCTGCACAGCCCACTCGGTTGTGCCATACCAGCCTGAAGCCCTGAATATATATGAATCGTGTTGGGCTGCGGGCAGGGCTCTGTCGGCACACAAGCCGTAGGCGGCACAGCCACTCGGTTGTGCCATGCCAGCCCGACCCCCGGACCTAAAACCCCAACACGGTCTGTATGCCGTGGGTGGCACGACCGGATATGCACCTCTACTTCTCCCCTTCTTCTTGATTTCTCCTGTTTCTTCTCCCCCCGGACCACCTCTCCGTCAGGCCCCTGTTCATCGTCTCTATCGAGGAGAGCAGGGGAGTTGCAGCGGCAGAACCCTCCCCTTATCCCCACTCGATTCGGGCCAAAATCCAATTGTTTTCGGGTCTGTTATTGTTCCCTCAGTCCTTTCCCCCACTATCTCGTTGCTTTTCCACCACTTGGGTCGTTGGCCGAATCCCCTACATCCTGTAAACTCGCCGTTCGTACTGAAGAAGCTACCGCAGCGGTGATCGGCGATTTCCATCATTTCACTTCCATCGATCTGCATATAACCATCCGCGAAGGTCATCGTTGTTCAAGGGTGAAGAAGCCGTAGCCGAAGCAGATTAAACCTCCTCCCGTTTCATTGTTCATATGAAGGTCGAAATCAATCCGAGTCTGAGGTCGAATGTTGTACACTTGTACTCGAATTGGCCCTGATCTTCAGAATTCGATAAACGTCATCCATTCAAAGTCTGCGTGCAAGCTTACCATTCCAGTTCGATCCAGATTTCCAAACCAAGAAAGGTCTTCTCGACCGTAGGAATCAAACCCAACCCGAGGCCATCGAGCTTGTATCAGCATCGATCCCCATCTTAGGCCACATCCATCGAAGGTAAGTTCCCCACTTGTGTTTGCTGATTGATGATAAGATATCAGTAGGGTCGAACTCCTAATTCTACTTAACTAACTCATCTTTCTGAGATGGTTGATGTTATTTTCTGAGTGAAGATAGTGTCTCTGACACCATTCTTTTTCTGCTATTTAATTTGCTAGCTGAGGTTCTCTTGGACATATACGTATTCTTTTAAGTTCCATGATATGCTGCTAGTGTGGGGTGTTTTCTCATCAGAACGGTTTAAAAAAAGTGATTTAATTTTATTGATTATCAGCTACTTTGTTCAAATGAAATAGAACTAAAAGCATTTTATGGTGCATGTTCCTCCATTGATATCTTGCTAGATCAGAGGTGATTTATTCTCTCTGTAAATTAAAAGAATGAGGGATGCCGGTTGCAGAAAACAAAACAGATTTGAAACAACAAAAGATATGATCAAAAAAGAAAAACCAAAAAATGAAAATCGGTAATAATGGGGTTGATCAACAGATCCCGATGTTTAGCTTGATAGATTAGAATTTCCTTGTAGGGAGAATAATCTATGAACAGAAAGTATATAAAAGGTTCTATATATATATATGTAATAAAAAATAATAATTTCATAAAAGAAATAAACAAATAGGAATGGCAACGGGGCGGGCTTGGAGCAGGGCACCCCCTCCCCATCACCGCCCCATAGTCAAGATATTTTGCCCCGTTCTTGCCCTATCCTCGGTGGTGGGTTGGGGCATCCACTCAAATTTTCTCTATTAAAAATTATCAATTTTATGTAGAATTTACACATAGGATATAGGAATTTGGGTGTATTTTAAGAATCGAATTATAATAATTTAGGGATAATTCACAAATAGAATAATGGGATCCTAAGATTTTAAGAATTTAGGGAAAACTTAGAGATATTTTAAATATCAATATTAAACCTGAGATATTTTACTAATTTACCTTTGGGTTCGGGGCGGGTTCGGGGAATTATATACAAAACCCGTCCCTGCCCCATCCCTAGTTCAGGGAAAAATATTTTCACCATCCTCACCTCGTCCTTGTTTAGGGTAAGGGAAAACCCTTCCCATTCAGGGCGGGGCGGGGCAGGGCGAGCCCCCGGGTTTACAAGGGAAATTGCCATCCCTATTAACAAATCAGTGATTTAAAAGGCATGCCTAGTCGCACAGGCGAGGTGCGTTTTGGGGTATGTGCCTCGCCCAGGTCCTAGGCGCACCCCTTTCAAACGGTGCATGCCTAGTGCGCCTAGGCGTGTGCCTGATGCGCCTTGCGCTTCAGCCCAGGTGTACGTCCTTTTAAAATTTTATGCTTTTTCCTTTTCTTGAGTCTAACGACTGGGTCGGGGGCTCTGCCCCTAGACCCTGATCACGCCCTTCGAAGAGAGCCTAAACAAGTCTATGTTAGGGTTTGAAGTTCTTATTTCTCACATGAAAAATAATGATTTTACAACATTAGCAAATTTGGGGTTCTCGGAGCTTCGGTGCGAGTGAACTGGAGCAGAGTAGAACCCCAATTTGTTAATGTTGTTCATTCATTTATTCCAATAAAATATCTTCTTAAAAGACAATTAAAGTTATCAAATCATTATTTTTCATGTGAAAAATAAGAATTTCAAACCCTAACATAGACTTGTTCTAACTTGCCTCGAAGGGCGTGGTAGTAAGGTGACTCAGAGAATAAAAAGTGCAATATGTTTTACATCACATTAGCTACTTGAAGCAATGCAATTAAAGAAAAAAAAAGATTGTGGGTTTTACATGCTTGAAATGTTTTATATGTTTGCTTTTATTTTTAAATTCTCATTTAAATACACTTTACATGTTATGTTTATGTATTTTAATTTTAGATAATTGGATTTTTAAAACATTTATTTTGAAATTTATGTTTATATTTTTATTAACATTATGTTTAATATTTTTTGCATTTTTTTAAAACTTTCTGACTTTATTTTTTATTTTTTAGCTTTCTTTTTTGTAGTTTTTTGCCTTTCTTAAAAAGGCGCATGCATTGCCTTGTGCCTTTTATGCACCTTGCGCTTTTAAAACAACAAAACAAATAGGGTTTTATATAAGAAAAATAAAAAAATTGACAAAATTAAAGAAAGAAGAGAGAATAACAAAATAAAAACAAATATAATAATAAGAAAATATGATAAAACCGATGTGTGGCGATCCCAAATCAGTCCAAATGAGCCATTTTCCGACGCTCAAACACATTATCCATATTTAGAGACTAAGGTTGATTTGCATCAATTAAGGGGACCTTCTACAACATTTTTCGGCAATCAAGGACAACACAGAAGTTCACTAGGTTCATCTTCCTTGCCATCTTGGTTCCAACAAGAGCTGCATATGCTTCAGAAAAAGAAAGTTGATAGGTGACCAACTGCACCCTGATTAGGTTAATGATGCTGACCTTCTCTACTAGAGCCTGAAGCAGTAGAAATCTTCGAATTGGGCAACAGGCAACCCTAATTGCACCCTTATATTTTTCATGTTAATAATTATTCTCTGATAGGAGAGTCTTCATTGTAATGTCTGAAGCTAGTATCTTTGATCGGCCATAATAGGGGTACAACTCAGGCAGGTTGGATCAGGTTGAGGGGTCAACCTAAGTCCAACCCTAACATTCAAACCTTGGATTCAAGATTGGTCCAATTCCAGGTCAAGCCCAAAGTTTACCAACCCATGTCCAATCCAAACTCAATCTAAAATATATGCATAGCCCATGATGCAACAGCTCAAATTAAGTCAGGTTGGGATCAGAATGGACCCACCCAAGTTGCAAGCCCATTTAATCTGGTTTGTGACTCTGAGATTTAGTATGGATATTCACAATCTTCCGTGGGATTCCATTTTGTTCTATTTTGGCTATCAATTACATAAAACACATCTTACACTCTTTCGACTCCATTAAAGTAAAGACATGAGGTAATTTAAGCTAGCTGTTTCGCAGGGTCTAATATTGAATTCCATTCCAGTTACAGACTTACAGGCTTTACAGAAGTCTCAAGATTGCTGCATGATCTGCAGGATTTAAGCAATGATTCCTAAATGGTTGAATCCAACTGAATGGCAACACTTTTGTTTTTCAATTTTACAGCATGATCAAGTTCAAGATAACCAGAATTTCCAAGAAGTTTTAGCGCACGTCCGTAATGTTCAATAGTTAAATCAAATATTATAATCCCTTCTCAATTCTCATAGAATCCAAGTATTTGGTCCTAGAACTAGGCCTAGGGATGATCATGGGCCGGGCTAGGTTTTGCTAGGATTTTAACAAAGTATAGGGCTGCCTGGCCCAGCCCGAACCGCACCCCCAGTTTAATAATGTCTCCGGGACTGAACCAGGCCGGGCTGGACGTGCAGGTATGCCCACATAAACATTAATTGACAATTCAACTTTCAATTTTCAACTACACTTGGGCTTGGTTTTGGGCTTATGCCCCAACTACGCTAAAACATAAATGACATTCAACTTTCAACTATTAACATATATTCTATATTTATTTAAAAAGTATAACATATTAAATTATTAACATCTGAATTTTCTATTAAAGGTATCCTATATCAATAAAATTAAAAAAAAACCAAAATTAACCTAAATTTCTTAAACGTTAAGACTGTAACTTGTCGTATAAGAGCAAAATTCTTTCCCTCTTTCTATCTCAAACATTAAATAACTTTTCAAATATAACCTATTATATTTATAAAAAAAAAGCTTACAATTTTTTTTATCAAAGCAAAGACAGCCTTATATAACCAAATAGAAATCAAAGGCAACCTCTATTTTTTTATATATCAACACCATAACTTGTTGCATTCAACAAAAAATGTATATCCCTACCATCTACTACCACATGTATAAACTTTATAAAACTTTTAAAAACTAAAAAACCCTTAACCCTACTATATGTCCGGGCCGGGCTGGGTTTTCCAAGTCTAATGTTTTAGCATCTAGGGCCGTCCCAGATTTCATGTAAGCTTGGTACAGGTCCGGCCCAGGCCGGTCCATAAATGATCATCCTTACTACTTAATAAGATCAAGAAGTAGAAGTGCAGTGCATACTGCAGACTTTAATTACGAAGGAAAAAAAAAAAAAGGAATCTTGTGCCTACTGTTCTAGGGTCCTCTTCATTTGGTTATAGATGGAGATAGCTTGACCATAAGAGTGGTTACGGGTATAGGCTCTGATTATTGCATTGTAAAGAAAATAACATTTAGCCCAATCACCTGCTAGAAAAGTAAACTTTCATAAGCTATATGTCCATTAATATCAGATATATAAACCATTTTTGTCGCCAGGAATTTGGTTTATGATAGAGAGTACTAAAGTTGTCAGCGTGCACTTTCTTCAATCCTGTGATACTGGCGCGTTTTCGCAACATGGGTATCAATTGATTCTCCAAATCTCCGGTTAGCACAACACAATACCAATCTTCGCATCCATTAATGACAGAGCGGCAGAGATTAGCAAAGCTCCTTAGAGACTGTTCAAAGTATTCATTACTCAACCGGGGCCTACAGACACATGTAACAACAGTGAAGATGGGACTTGGATTGGACTTGATAATAAACAATAGCCTTGTAGATATGTATGGAAAGTGCAATAGGCTAGACATGGCTTCACTTGTATTCGATAAAATGCCTGAACGAAATGTGATCTCATGGACAACTCTCATGGGTGGGTACTTGTGTCAGGGTAATGCCAAAGCAACATTGTCACTCTTCTGTCAAATGGGGAGCTCAGAAGTTAAACCGAATGACTTCACATTCTCAACTAGCTTAAAAGCTTGTGGTTTTATAGGTATTGCTGAGAATGGAATGCAAATACATGTTCTCTGTATTAAAACTGGCTTTGAATGGAACCTGGTTGTGGCCAATTCAATCATTGATATGTACTCCAAATGTGGGAAAATTGTGGAATCAACTAGGATGTTTGATATAATGCCAACTAGGAATCTCATTAGTTGGAATTCGATGATTGCTGGGTACACCAATGCAAGACAAAGCAGCAAGTCACTACATTTGTTCAAAAGAATGCAAGAACATGGAGAAATACCTGATGAATTTACATATTCCAGTGTTTTAAAATCTTGTGCTGGTCTTGGAGCAGTTCAGGAAGGGCGCCAAATACATGCTTCTTTGATCACAAGAGGGTTTCCTATTTTGATTCAGACAATCATGGCAAGCGCACTTGTAGAACTCTATATAAAGTGTAGGTGGTTGCCTGAAGCAAGGAAGTTGTTTGATCGGATAGAAGATAAGAATGTGATTTCTTGGACGGCAATAATTGCAGGCTATGCTCAAGAAGGCAAGCTACAAGAGACTATTGACTTGTTTAGGCAGTTTAGGAAGACAGGCATTCAACTTGATGGGTTTGTTCTCTCGAGCATGATGGGTGTCTTGGCCGATTTTGCCCTTGTGGAGCAAGGGAAACAAATACATTCTTACATGGTAAAAGTTCCATACGGTTTAGATATCTCAGCAGCCAATTCAGTTGTGGATATGTATATCAAGTGTGGTTTAACGGTAGAAGCAGAGAAGTGTTTCAATGAGATACTTGCTAGAAATGTAGTCTCCTGGACTGTGATGATCAGTGGATACGGAAAGCATGGTTATGGCAAAGATGCAATACGTCTCTTTGAAGAAATGCAATTGGAGAACATCAAGCCCGATGAGGTGAGTTATTTGGCTGTGCTCTCAGCCTGCAGCCATGCTGGTCTCATTGAAGAAGGTAACAAATACTTCTCAACATTGTGCAAAGACCAAAGTATTACTCCTAAAGTAGAACATTATGCTTGCATGGTTGATCTCCTTGGCCGAGCTGGGCATTTAAAAGAAGCCAAGGATCTCATAGAGAACATGCCACTAGAACCAAGTGTAGGCATTTGGCAGACATTGCTAAGCGCATGTAGGGTACATAGAGACTTGGAATTTGGCAGAGAAGTTGGAGAAATCCTATTGAGGTTGGATGGTGATAACCCAGTAAATTACGTGATGATGTCTAACATCTATGCTGAAGCTGGTGAATGGGGGGAGTGTCAGAAAGTGAGGGAGGCAATGAAGGAGAAAGGGCTGAAGAAAGAAGCTGGGTGTAGTTGGATTGATATTGACAAGGAGGTGCACTTTTTCTATGGAGGAGACGACACACACCCACTTATAGAGAGAATTCACGAGGTATTGAAGGTGATGGAGAGGAGAATAAAAGAAGAGACAGGTTATGCACATGGGGTGAAGTTTGCACTACATGATGTAGAAGAGGAGTCGAAGGAGGAGAGTTTGAGAGTTCATAGTGAGAAGTTGGCAATTGGGTTAGCATTAGTGCATGGTGGGTTGGATAGAGGAGTTGTAAGCGTCTTCAAGAACCTGAGGGTTTGTGGGGATTGTCATGAATTCTTTAAGGGTCTTTCAAAGGTATTAAAGAGGGTGTTTGTGGTGAGAGATGCTAATAGGTTTCATAGATTTGAGGATGGCGAGTGCTCCTGTGGTGATTATTGGTGACAGTCGTGGGGTTTTAATGTAGCAACAACTGTATGACCAGTGATGCTTTGGTTTGCCATTTTCCTCGATTTTGATCTTATTTGCCCGCAACTTTGAATGCTTGTAGAAAGGACAAACAGCAAAATTTCACATTAGAACTTAGAGAGCTGAGTACGAAGCAAGCAAATAAATGGTAATGTAGTTTTATACTTTTATTTGGACCATTCTCGAGTTGAATTGACATTGACACACACGCTCACCGAAAATCAATCCTCTTGAGTCTCAAGTCTTTTTAAGTCTCAACCCATTTAGACATCCAGGAAGTAGAGGATTACTGCAATGCTACCACTGCATAAACTCTTCACTCCAGCAAAATAATAAAACAATCAGTGACTGTTTGAGAAGGCTGAAGTTCAGTAGGCTTCTCGTTTTTGGTGTTCGGCCCCACACGGACAGCCTACAAGTTATGTTTGGTGAAAATTTCGGATAGCTCAAATCAGCTGTTGGTAAGTCATTTCAAAGGCTGTTCGCTTCAGCCTCTGAATAATTTATTCAGAGAGTTTTGAAGCAGCTGAACCAGCTTGGTTGAATCTTCAGCTCTGCGCTCCAAAATTGGCCCTCTGTCTGTTTGGAAGAGCTTTCTCACTGTGTCTTTTGGGTTGTTTTTTGCAAGGCAGTACCCACAGAACCTATAAACAATGTTTGATGAAAAGCCAGGAGAGTCAAATTTTGGTCATCAGGTTACATGGTTCTCTTTGTTGGAGGACTTTCATGTACTTTCATCTTGCTAACTTTGGTTTTACAAGGTGATGCTGATTCAAAAGGCTCTTAAGATTGCTTGGTTAAAACTTTGAAAAGCCCAAGCTCAATGCCCATTTTGGAGAGCCAAATCAGTTGTCGATCAACCAGTTGATAGGCTGTCCACTTCGGTCTCTTTGAATAGCTTAAGGGGGTGTTTTGTTCCATGGATGAGAAATTTGTGGATCCACACCACACTACTGTGGTAGGGACCAATCCACACCGCACCACAATCCACAGCTGTTCTGAACTATGGATAAACTATGTGGACTAAATCAATCCACACCTGCAATAGTGTTCTGTAGGTGTGTTGTGGATCAGTCCATACCACACTTTTTGATTCCATACATTTTGTGAAACGGCTACAAAATCGATTATAAAGAAGTAACTGTACCCAATAACCCAGATTAGTTTGGAAATATTATCGATAAATACATATTAACCAATAAAAATTTATTTTAACAAAAAATAAGTGAAAAATAATTAAATAAGTAACAAAAATATTTTTTATTTTTTATTAAAAAATTAAATGATTCAATAAACAATGATTGAATTATTTAAAACTTCCATTGGTTTCATTGGTTGGCAGTGGGTCTCTACTTTGTTAGCCACAAAGGGAGGAAGAAATATAGCCTCGGGGGTGTAATGGTAAAAAACAACAAAAACTAAGTTATATGATGTATATTATTACATGCCCTTCTTTGTCCACCAGTGGACGGGGACCATCTACGAAAAATAAGCATTGACGAGAATTTAATCTGGGATGGTCCCTGTCCATGAATTGTTGGCGACGGGGACCTTTCCCAATGAACTGAACACCACTTATTATTGTGGACGGGACCAAAATAGCCCTGTCCATGATATAAACACGGTATTGAATGCCCCTTAAATAGAGTGCCTTGCCAAAATCATCTGGCTTCTCACTTAGACAGCTAAGCCAGTTGTCAACATAGTTTATGTTATTTATGCAGCTGAACCAAAGCACCTTCTTCAAAACAGTTTAACCAAGCAGAAAGCTTTATAGCCCAAACCCACTAGTTATGGAATTTGTATTTTGTACATGCATGGTAATTTTAATCAGGGCCATTTACTAAATCAGCCCATATAATTTAATGGATTTACTAAACCTACCCTATAGTTTGTTTTTTATTAAACACCCCTATAGTTTACAACTAACTTAGGCCCTATTTGGCAAGTCTTTGTGAAAGATCTTCTGGGCTTTTAGAAGCCTGGTTGACCAAAAATGGTCTTTTTCTGTTTGGCTACTGAAAGCCCACTAGACCAAAAGACAGGATCCCAAGAAAGACCTAAAAGACCAAAATGGTTTGGATCTGAGAAGCTCCAAGCCAAGCTTATGGTCTATTTGGGCTTCTTAGCTTCCCGATACTTTTGACAAAAATTCGACTCAGAGATACTCTCTGCCCCCAGCAATTGAGAAGCATCGAACACAGGTATGTTCTTCTTCTTCTTCTTCTTCTTCTTCTTCTTCTCTTCACAATTGCTAATCGTGACTTGTTGTTCACTATGTTCATGTTCTTCACCGTGTTCTCCTTTCTCATCAATGTTTGTTGTTCTTCATTGTGTTCAGGTATAATCAACCGGCATCTATCATTTTTTTTTTCAAATTCCATTGATGCATCAGGGTCTGAATTGGTACTGATGCATAGATTTCTAGCATAATGAATTGATCAGAATGTAAATTTTGATCTGTAGCTTGATGTGCCTTCATCTGCTCATTGCTGTTTGTCTTGTTTAATAGCCAATGTTAAATACTTCAATCCCATTGTTTACCAACTTAAGTAAACACTATCCATTTCTTGGTTGAGTTTGAATTGTGTATTCCCCAACCTGATCCATTGCTGGCTGGTGGCTGCATTGTCATACAAATAGAAACATCAGTGCTGCTGCAAGCAAATACATCAACCAACTTGAACAAAGGTCGTGAAGATCATCGTTTCTCTATTACAATATGTGCGAAACAAAAATAACCAATTTACTGGTTTGACAAAATAAATCACAAAGATACAAATCACAAACAGATGAACCAGTTTGTATCTGCCACCTCATGTGGCACACTGCAAAATTATGTATAGAAACATATTATTTTCTTTTTCAATATTTGACTTTCTTTACTCATGAGTACATTATAATCATTTCAGATTGAGTTTTAGGGGGCAAAATGAACAACATTATTTTTACCCTTTTGCATTCAAGAACCACTATTTGTCAATTTCCTTAAACAAGACATCAGATTTGTGGTGATTGTGTTATTGACAACATGGAAAAAAAAAAGAAAATAAAAGACAGATGCATTGTTTTAAACCAACAATAAGAGAAACAAGGCAACTAGCAGCAAAAGAATTAGTGGTGAAAGGATCTGATTGGCAAACATGAAAGCCCAGGCTGTTGTTTACTCTTAAAAGTCTATTGAATAAACAAGACTTAAGTTACCAGGAGCAGCAGTTATTTTAGACCAGATGAAGTTTAGATTGTCTGAGAAGCCTGCCCATGGTGAAGTGTGCTTCTGTGCCTTGGCACAGAGAAAACTCATCAGTGAGAGACATCCTAGACACATTTGGAAGACTTCAGTTCTAAACCAGAGGAAGGGGATCTTCAGATAAAGAATTTGAAAGTGATAAGTGCTGCATTGGTGGGGAAATGACATTGGTGGTTTAGCATAGAACTTAACAGTTGGTGGAAGGAGGTTGTAGAGGTGAACTATAGAGTTAAGCAATGGCAACTGGGATGCAGGAGTGGCCCATAGCACACATATGTGCCCTGTTCAGAATGGGATTGACAAATCCTTCGAAGCCTTCAGCAAGGGTGCAATCTTTAAGTTAGGTAATTGAAAAAGGTATAGTTCTGAGCAGATACATGGTGTGACAACTGGCCCCAATCTGCATCTTTCCCTATATCAGGTATAGTACTGTCACATCCCTAGAGAAAAGCATTGTTTAATGTATTGTAATAGTCAAAACCATCCAGGTTACAGAAGTACTGCCAAAGTAAAAGAAAAAAAAAAAACAATAACAGTTTAGTATTTAGTATTTACAAGTGTGAACACAATCCCTTCTTGTAAGAAAGCTCATGATATGTTTCCATCTACCCATATTATGGTTACTAGCATCTGATTAACTGTTTTGTTTGCCTTTCTAGCATCCGGCATTTCTTGGAAAGTTGAATACTTAATGGATTTCATGCAACTAAAATTGTTGTCCCTTGTTATCAATAATAGATTCTATTAATGATTAAAAAACAAAAAGAGGTAAAATACATAAAGTACTAAATCCAATGAATAGAACTCATCCCAAATGCTCCCCAGAAACTACAGATAGCAAATTCACAAGAAGAAAAAATATCAACATAAATAAATCAAATATAATTCAAATCATAGTTGTCAAGGCGACGCCTAGGCGACAAGGTGCCCTTGGAGGCTCGCCTCGACTAATCGCCAAGCAGTTTTCTATAGCGTGTTATAAAAAAACTTTTATATTCTTAATTTTTTAGGTTATAATTATAAAATAGACATTTTAAACTAAAATTTTCATTTTGTGTGTTTACATACTAATTTCTTTTTTATTATTTTCTTATTTGTTAGGGTTTAATCAGCAAAAACATTGCTAAATGCTGTATTGCACCCTCAAAAACTTCAAAACCTAAACCAATAAGGAAGAACATAAAATGTTGTCCAATCAAATACATTTTCTTCTTTTTCTTTACTAATTTTGTGTGTTTATATACTAATTTCTTCTTCTTCTTCTTCCACCTTTTCTTTTCTTCTTTTCCTATAACAGAAATAGGGGTTCAGCCCCTATATTTTTTGAATTTTCTTTTCTTTCTTCTTTTTCTTCTCATGAATATGTTGATTTTCTATACTTCAACATGAAGTTTATAATTTTCTTATAAGAATTATGGATATTTATTAAGGAAATATGATTATGGAACCTAGGGAACTATCCTAGGATACATGTTTTTACTAAAAAAAATCCATCTCCCCTGTTGCCAAGCCTCGCCTTGGCGCCTTGAAAACTATGATTCAAATCTTTACTTTTTTTCTATTATCTACTGTAAGCTAATGGGCCAGGCAACCCTCGGATCCATCTAACTCAGTTGTCCCATGCACAACATTGTAGTTGTCCACCAACTACAGATCCAAAGAACTGCTGCCCATACAACTAATCACCACCTGAAGGTCACCTCAATGTAAGACAACCACTCTGATGCTAAACTGATGAAGGGTAGTTTCAAACAAGATGGGTCTGAGTTACTTAGCAAGCTCAGTACTTGTTTTCTTTGAACTCCAACTTGAAGGACAGAAAAGAGCAAAAAGAATATGAAAACAAGCTTACTATAAAAAGAATATGCAGACAAGAGGAAGACAAGTTTCTTTCTTTAGTTCTTTTGAACAGGGCCTTCATAATGGTAC